GTGGCTGCAGGCTTCTCCCCGGGCGTGGGAGCCGAGGGGGACCTGCCCTGCAGTCAGTCCAGTCTGACGGTCATCAGCCTCTTTCGGCTTCGAGAACCCGGCGCTTTCCAGGGGTTTTGCAGGAAATTTCTGACCAATTCCCGCGCTGGCCGCTCGTATCGACAGCAGACCTCGGCACCAAGCGGCACTTAACGTTGCAATCTTCCCCTCCCTGCTTAGGGTGAGCCGTGAGGTGATCGTATTCGGCATTCAAATTAAACGGGAACGTCTTTAACTGTTTCACTGCTGATTATGGGAAGGGTTTCGGGTCCCGGCAACCCACAGTAATTTTGGCACCGCAGATAAACGGTATTAGGAAAGAGATTGTCCCTCTGTCGCTCTGCTCTGTGGCGTCAAGGCAGCGGAGGGAAAGGACTCTGCTCTGGGCATCGGCACAAGCAGGGGAAAGCCAGTCTTGGAAAGCCCCGGGTGTACTGGGCCGTCCAAAATGCATTTGAGCAGACGCAGAGGAACCCACCCCATATTTTGGATGCCTGCACAATAAATGGTAGCTGCATCCTGGTTAGGTTTCTCAAGCTGCTGAAGCTTGGTCTGTAGGAAAAGCTGAGGAGAGCAGCACGGTTCTGATAGCCCCAAGTACCTAAAAATCGTGAGCTGAGAGCCTAATGCAACGAAATGACTTGTGGCCACTGCTCGTCTGTCACGCAGAGCCTTAGCATTTACGAGTCTGTGATTCAGTTCCCCCCTCTCCCCACAGTGGAGTATGAATCTTTTTAAAGCTGAGATTATCAGGTAGTAACATCACTACAAGCTCTTGGACTTCAAGTAAAACACCGATTTTTGCACAGCTCGTGCCAGCCTGCAAACACTGCCTTATTTCACTGTAGCTTCTGTGCAGGAGATGTTGCAATTTGATCAAAATTTGCTCTTCTGAGGTCCGTTGCTCATAGATTGTATCAGTTTTAATGTTTTTGCCTCTTATGCTGCAATATACAAGGCGATTTTTAAAAATTAGTGTTCCCAAAGAATTTATTGTGCAAAAGACAAGAAACTGTGCAGATATATGAGATCAGAAATGGCTTGCAAATTACTTTTCTGGGGGTAAGAGCAGAAATGATCTCTGCTCAGGCTGATGGCTACATGTAAGAAAGATAACAGTAGTAGTTCGGGGGTTTTTTAAGAACAGTTTTCTGTTGCACTGCTGTGCCAGAGTGCTAGACCAATTTCCCTGTCCTTCTCTTCCAATATATAGTCATGCTTTTCCTCATACAGTTTCACAGCTTCTTCTACACCCTGTGTTTTTGACAAACGCTGCACTATTTGTGTTCAGATAATTTTCATCAAAGCTATTGTTTATATTTGAAAATATTTGCTTTGATGCAGCATTTTTTAAAAAATACATTTGTCTTGCAATAATTTTTTCAAGTCTTTTCTCTTTCATTTAACTCAATGGAAGAGCTTCGCTGACAGATAGAATATGTGGAGAAAGAAAGTGATGGAAAGAAATTTTACTTTTTGTCCAATTCGCCTCAAATCAGGATAGGATGACAAAGTATCATCTTCCATTGAATTCCTTCTTTCCCCCTTTTTCCCAACAAAACTATCACTTTTGAGGGCTCCTCACTTTCTTTAAAATAAAAAAAGGCTGAGCAATCCACTCCCGAGACAGGGCTTTATCGTTGCAATACTGACATAATCTGAGCCGTAGCCATGCAAATTAGGATTCTGTCGTACATATGGTGTTGCTGGAAACCAGACAGAACAGGGTTTCGTGTTCCATCTGTAGCACAAGCTCTATATGAACTACACTGAGTACAAGACTGGAATTCGTACCTCATCAGAAAATACTTAACGATTTTGTCAGGGCCACAATTTAGAAAGAGCTCTTGACTTGATGATATTAGTATTCCTTAGTGTCTATAATACATCAAGGAACTATTGTTTCAGCAGAAATTAAAAAAGCAGATTGCTTGGTTTCAGCCCTCCTTCCTTTTCTGCCTTGAAATCCCATTGACTGGAGCCCAGATGAATTTTGTGTGAACCTAGCAGAGAATTCGGCATGATAACTCAAGGTCCGAAAGCTGCACTGGTACAGTAAAAAAAGAACCATATAGGAGACTTGCTTTTTCCACTTATGTAATATCATCTAATCTCCTACCTGTAAAGTACTGTTTCTGAGACATGCTACCTTAACAAAGAGCCCACAGTCTTAAATTTCTGAGCTCCCGTTGCTAGTCTGCAGTGATCATTTAGCTGTCACACTCCCAGAGCCGCAAGCATTTTCTTGCTAGTATTATTGATGATACTAGTGCACAGAAAGAGAGGTGATCACATTTGCTTATGAGTCTCAGGAGCTGAAATTCATTTCTCTTTTTCTATCCCTTCCTGTTGCTTATATTGTTGGTTACAAGTTGGGCAATGTACCTGAATGTACCTTTAACACCTTAAATAGTATAAGGCACAGCCATCCATATTTACCCAGAAGTTCATGGTATTTCCACTTAGTTGCTCCTCACCTTTTAACAGTATTACAGGGTTTGGTTGTTAAACATTTGGCAACGCGTTGTACAACCTCTGCCTCCGGCTGCTTGGTCCCCTCGGCAAGGCTACCCCTGTTTGCATGGTCTCCTCGCCAGCAGTGCTGGAGAAGAGATCCACCTGAAATACAACCACAGCCTCCCCTCCCCCCTAAACCAGTTGTTTTCTTCTGCTAGATCAGTTCCCCAAAATGGTTCACTGACTGGCCGTATGAACAGCTGTGCCGGCCCAAAAGAGAGGGTGACACAGGCTCAGCGATGATAGCCGTTGAGCTTCGTTTCACCTATTTCTTAAATCAGTAAGTGATCGCGCCTTTCTGATCTGCAGACCACCTGTTGGGTGCAAACCGTGTTCCAAGCCCACTAGGCTCCTTCTCTTCCCATTTTTGTAAAGAGAAAACGAAACGCCAGCCAACCACAAAACACTTTAGCACATGTTTTATTGTATACAAAGATCATGTACAACAAGAAATAGCTCATTATTTCCCTCCGTTTTCAATAGGCTGGTTTTTGTCTTTAATTAAGTGCATCATTTATTTAGGGCTTTAATTATATTGTGGCTGCATTGGTTACAGCTGGGGAAGTACAAGTCAAGAACTTCTTGGTTTTCTTTTCCCAAATGTGTAACCTGCTATATTGCACTGCTTTAAAAAAGTGCTGAAAACGCTACAAACGCACAGCTTCTGTAATTAACCCTAGAGAAGAGTTTCTCTGGGTTCGCATTTATAAAACCCATTTTGGAGCACTTTCACTTAGGCCTTTTTGCCTTGCAGTAAATAGTTCAGCCACCTGAAACAAAACCACCGCCACTCAAGAAGCTTTTTAAGCACGACACCTTTTAAATCATAATTTGACAATTACTCTCTCTGTCACTGGTAACCATCCAAACAGTGCTTCTGCGGTTGCAAAATCTTATGTTGGTTATTCCCCAAGGGAACCAAACCAAAAACTAACCAAAGTTGTAACGCAGCACAGGGGGCGATCGTTATCTGAAAGCCCTTTGAAAATCTAAAAGTAAAACTAAAAGGAT